AAAAAAAAAAAATAGGAAATTGGGTAATAACCAGGAAATATTGTTGATTATGTTGTGAAATCATACAAAAGATTTTTCAACCATAAAATTTTTAATTTAACATGGTGTAATAAAATTTAAATAGAAAAAATTGCCGAAAAACATTTTGAACTTTAACATTTTTCAAAAAAAAAATATTTTTAGTTGCTATATTTTATGACAATAATCACTACATACATATGTACATATGTTCATGCTCAATATTTTTTTATGATTCTCTCTGTCTTTCTCTCTTTCTCTCTCTCTCTCTCTCTCTCTCTGTGTATAACGGTAAAGTTTTCTTTTATTGCTCTTTTTTCCCGCATTTTCTCTCTCTTCATTTTACAACAATTTTTTTTTTGTAGTTGCTTTTCTCTTGATTACTTGATTTTTTCCGTTTTTTTTCTCTTTTTGTATTTGTATCAACATTTGCGTATATGCCGAAATATAACGGTAAATGATTATTACATAACATGCATGTAATTTTATTTTTATATTATTTTTTCTTTAACGAATTTCCAGTTAGTTTTTTTTTTTTCCAAATATTAAAGCACTTAAATAAATTTACAATCAGAACAATTAAATATATTTTTGTTAAATTACTCTTTTTTTCCGGAACATAATATAACAATAAAATACTTCAATTAAGGTATAACACTCTGAGTATAGAACAAACACACTTCAAAACTATGCACCTTAGATTCGTTATATTCTCACATAAATGGAATGCATTATAGTGTTGAAAGGAGTGTAGTTACATATATACACAGTTTTATTCCCGGTAAATTTTACATTTTGATTGAAAATAAACAACTAAGTTTCCAAATAAACGTAAATTTATAAATTACATGTAAAATTGCAGTAGATATGTGTAATATTATCACAATTTCTAATTTACAATTCTTGTTTTTTAAAGTTGTGTAATTAATATTATTGGAATTAATTGTTTATAATAATATCAAATATATTATTGTAATTCGAAGTCTTCTGATTCGGATTTTGTATTTTGTGTTTTTTTTTTTTTTTATTATTTGGAAAACATATGGGATGCAATTTATTTTATGTATATATAAGTAAAAATATATACTATGTATGTATATAGTATATACATATATTTAAGCAGTATATAAATTATATTATTATATAAGTATCTATATTTTTGGATTTTGTTTTTTTAGCAAATAAAATGCTAAATGCATTCGAGATTTTTTGTAAATAAGATAATTATATAAAGTAATAAATATAAAATGTAAATAAAATGTACGTATACAATATAGAGCATCTATATAACCATATATAACAATATAAATAAATAAATAAATAAATAAATAAATAACATGCAATATAATAAAAATAATAATAATAATATTAACATTATTCACTTCATTGTATCTATGTATATAAATGTGCATTCATAAACGTGTGTGTGTGAGTTTGTATATAAGTTGTTAGAGAGTATTATAAAGAATAAATATAATAGAAAGGAACATAAGATTTTATGTATATAATATTGTAAATATAGTGCAGTATCTTATTATATAAGAGAAGGAAGAAATCTAAAAAAATTCTATTTAATTAAAAAACTAAAAAAAAAAAGGAATTTTTTTTTGGAATTTATTAACAATTAATTGAAAATAATAGAGCATAGGTATACAAAAAAGAAAATAAATAAAAATAATTATGAGAAATAAATTGCAAGCATAATTAAATTAGCAAAAAGAAAGAAAAGAAAAAACAAAACAAAACCAGTAATTAAAAAAAAAAAATTTATTCTTTTTTATGTTTGTTTTCTCTGTTTTTCACAAGTTTAATCATCACATGACCTATAAAAACAAAAAAAAAAACAAAAAAATTATCGAATTATTGAAGGAAATTCAAATTTTATGTATCCTTCTCGTTCTATCTTGTAATTTCCTCGTATCTCTCCGTCTCTCTCTCGCTCACTCTTTTTGTGTGTTTGTGTTATTTTCTTTCATATTTCCATTGATATTGAAAATCATTACATAACTAGTTTTTTTTTTTTAATTTGGTTATTTCTGTAAAAATAGTAATTTTTTTTTAAGATAGGTGCGCTGCGAAAGAAAGAAAAAGGGACGGTAAATAGGAAGAGAAGACTGGGAATGGGGGAGAAATTTGGGGCGGAAAAACAAATAAATTGTATATGTTGGGGATCCAGATGTTGGTAATAGGGGGTTGTTTAGTAGAGGACAACATACAACAATATGTATAGGGGTTTCTTCATTTTTTTTTTGCCTTTTTGAAGGTTTTTTTTGTTCAGTCGTACTTAATCATGTGAATGATTTTCTGAGTTCTTTTATTTTATTTGAAAAATTCTTGCTTTTTTCTTGGTTTTTTTACTTTCTCCTTGCTTTTTTTCTGTTTTCGTTTTGTTTTCATTTTGTATTACGTATGAAACGCGAGAGGACTTTAACTGGATTAACTTTAAACAAAAAAAAAAAAAACCCCCGTGTCTATATTATAAGAGAAATAAAACCACAAAAAAAAAAAAAAAAATAGAAAAAAGGTGGGAAATAAAAAATTTCATTAATTGATTTTTTGTATTTTAAGGGTTGTTTTTAACTGATTTTTACCTCTCTCTAGGTTGCCTATATATGTCTATTTCTACTTACAGTACCATATTAGAATAGAACAAAAAAAAGAGAACAGAATACAGCTATTATACAAAATAGAAATATTTTTAATTTTTTTTTTTTATAGAAAATTTTTTTTAAAATTTTGTTATAGAATAAAATAAACTAGTATCGCAAGTAGGTGGCGAGGTGTGGAACGGTACAGTGGGTAATATTTTTAAATTAAAAAAAAGGAGATAAGTGAGAAGTGACTTTAAGAGTGTTGAACGTATTTTTTTTTTTGGTTTTACTTAAAATTAAAAAAATTACATAAAATTTTTTTGTATGTTTTTTCTTGTCTTGTTTTTTTTTTTTTATTTCCTCGTCAAAATCCACACACAAATATATATTGTAAACATTTTATTAATATTTAATTAAAAAAATATATTTAAGGCTTAAAGAATTATATAGGTATTATATAGGTTAAAACCGCCAGTATGAGGTTAAATAATTTTTCGAATTAGAAGAAACCTGTTCTTAAACAGAGAGAAAGAGAGAGAACAAGAGAAATTAATTGAAATCGGTTTTAAAGAAATAAAAAATTTAAAAATAATTTTAAAAATTTTTTAAATATAAAAAGTAAAAAAATAAATTGAATTTAATAAAAATTAAGAAAAAATTGAATTAAGGTTTAAAATTATATAAGTGAATATTTTTTAATTTTAAAGTGTCACTCTACATAATATGACATCGGAATTTCGGGTGTTTTATACCCGAAATTCTGATTTATATTAAGGGTACGGGGAACTATGTTTAATATGACAGTATAACGAGGTTTTTTTTTTTAAATATACCAAAGTCAGGAAAATTATTACTTATGATTATTTAAATTTTCCAGCCCCAGTTGATTCACTTTAGGAAATAAACAAAAACAAGATGTTTCATGTCTCATACATATATTATGTTAAATATATATACTGAATATGCACTGAATTCCCTATTCGGTCTGAAAATTATTAACATTCTTTCTTCTTCACTTCAGTCTATATAGAGTCTGTTATAGTGTAAACATATTGTATCGAGAATTACTTATTTAATAATTAATTAAAATTCAATATTATTAGATAAATATTTCAAAAAAATTATCATATTTATGTAATAACATACAAATTATTTCAATAATATTCTTTAGTTTTAATAAAATTCAGTGTCACCACATACTTATAATAGGAGGTTTAATAATTTTCAGTATTGTAAATATATTATACATATATACAACAAAATAATATTGATGTAACAGAATTAAAAATAAAAATTTTATCATTCTTGTATATATGCAGGTATTATAGGGTATAAAATAAAAATAAAAACAAAAATATTTTTGTTTATGTTTAGGCAAAAACAAACTTTTGTTTTTTCTTCTATTTTTGGATGTGCCAAATTTTATTTCATGTTACAAAAGTATGAATACATCTACATCTATGTACTTATATATACATATATGTATATAATTGATTTCCACAACATTTTTAATATTTTTAGTTATAGGTAGTATTTGAAAATCATAAAAATTTATAACTACAAAAATATTTTTTATACATAAATAAAAAAATTTTAAAACAATTTTGTAAGGTTTTCAGACAAGTTCAATTCAACTATATTTAGATTCAATTCAAAAGAATTAAAATTCAAATTCAAAAGAATTAAAATTCAATATTACTGAATAAATTATAATTTTAGACTGATTGTACTACGATCTTTTTTTAATTACAAAATTTTTAATTTATTTTTATATGGTGTAGTTAACGTTTATGCATATGCTTGACTAAAATTTCTAAAATTCTTCATTATGCATTTGACTGTCATTTTGTTTATTAAAGCAGATTGAGTTTTCGAAAGCATTTTATTATACAATATATGAGTAATTATTTTTAATGAGTAATTTCCGAACGATTTATATATATTTTAAATGTGTGCCACGTAAAATTTGCAACGAATGTACTTACAAATTAGAACAACATTCTAGCGCTTAATTAACGAAATCTCCCCCAATAGAATTTTACAAGTTGACTAAACTTACTCTCCACTCCCCATTTTCTTCTTCATTAATTTTTAAATACTTTGACTATCATGACTTCCTTGACTATGCAGTAAAATACATTATTAATACACACAATTCGGCTTATAACTTATTGACTTGTCTATTTATACATAGCATTATAGTGCAATTTTTAATGCATATAACAGGCCCTTTGTGAATTATTGATTATTTAAAGCATTAAATGCATTCTCTCATATTAAATATTGATTTTACATATTTGATTTTATATACATTTCGTTTTTTTTTATTTTCAAAAAATAAAAAAAAAAAATATAATTAAATATAATGATGGCGTCAAAAATATAATTCAGAAGACAATTAACAACAAGAAACATTAAAATAATTATTTAATATTTAATTTTAATTAAGAAGAATATCAAAAAGTTACAAAAATAAAACAACATTCTTGTGATAAATTGTGTGTATTGCATACAAAATTTAATAATATATTTATATTTATATATGAAAATATGTACATATAAAATTATGTATATATATAATTATATATATAAATATATATGTATATGTTCTTGAAAATAAAATAAATGTGTACACCTATATAAATATAAAATATATTACATGTACAGAGATATTTATAAAATAAGAAAAAATTAATTTAAATATAAAAATAGAAAAAATTTAAATAGCCTTCCAAATTTATTTAAAAAAAATTTTAATAATTAAATAATTAAATTTAAATATAATTATAAAAAGTTTAAAATATAATTTAAAGTAATTAAAAAAAAATTAAAAATGACATCTACATTATTGCAAAAAATTTGCCTGTTAACTGGTTTAGTATGTTTTCTTTATGTACAAGGTAAGTTTAAAATTTATTTTTAAATAACTATATATATGTACTTGTAGATAAAATTATAACAGTTTCCTCAAGATCGGACATGTAATAATACTATTAACGCAAAAATCAGCTTGTAAGTGCCTATTGTTGAATTGTGTACGAAACGGTATTATTACAATTCCGATGTCGAGTTTTTAATTAAAAAAAAACCGTACTCCTTTAAACGGTTTCACTTTTTTTTCGTGACGGCCGCATACACTACTTCGTATGTGACAGCTAATTACATATTCAATAAGAGATCGATAGTTCAGCAATCACTATTTTTCCCCGTCTTCAATAACTCTCTTAATATAGAAGTGTATTCAAAAATGAATAGCATTTAATTAGAGGTGGCGGCTGATTATATATTCAATAACAGTTCGACAGTCTAACAATCACTATTTTACCCGTCTCCAATAACTCTCTCAATATAGAAGTGTATTCAAAAATGAATAGCATTTAATTAGAGGTGGCGGCTGATTATATATTCAATAACAGTTCGACAGTCTAACAATCACTATTTTACCCGTCTCCAATAACTCTTTCAGTATAGAAGTGTATTCAAAAATCAATAGCATTTAATTAGAGGTGGCGGCTGATTATATATTCAATAACAGTTCGACAGTCTAACAATCACTATTTTTCCCGTCTTCAATAACTCTCTCAATATAGAAGTGTATTCAAAAATGAATAGCATTCCATTAGAGGTGACGGCTGATTATATATTCAATAACAGTTCGACAGTCTAACAATCACTATTTTACCCGTCTCAAATAACTCTCTCAATATAGAAGTGTATTCAAAAATCAATAGCATTCCATTAGAGGTGACGGCTGATTATATATTCAATAACAGTTCGACAGTCTAACAATCACTATTTTATCCGTCTCCAATAACTCTCTCAATATAAAAGTGTATTCAAAAATCAATAGCATTTAATTAGAGGTGGCAGCTGATTATATATTCAATAACAGTTCGACAGTCTAACAATCACTATTTTTCCCGTCTTCAATAATCCTCTTAGCTACTACACCTACACTGTCAATCGGACGGGAAAGCTATTTAAAAATAAATTTATAAATTTTTAAAAATGTTTATCAAAAATTCTCAACATTATTTTTGTTTTTATATTTTATGTCTATATATAGAAATTACCGGAATAACATGTTTCGATTGCAATAGTTTGTACGATCCTAGATGTGGTGATCCATTTGATGCATATTCAATTGGTGAAGTAAACTGTAGTAAACAACAACCATTAGAGCATCTTAAAGATAAATATCAACCAAGCGTATGTCGTAAACTATCGTTTAAAAGTAAGTTTTTTTTTTAAAAAAATTTTATTAAAAAAATTCTGATATCAGATCAGCTTTCTTTGACTTCAAAAGTGTATATACTAATAAATAGTAATCAATATACTATATTGAATAAACAATTTCGGCTTGCACAAGTATATACAAAATATAATTTCTGAATTGTTATATTAATATAATGTATATATAAATGCAATTTTGAGGTCACAGAGTATTTAAATATAACAGTTTTTTGTATAAAATTTATTAATTTTTATTTTTCTTGTTTTTTTTTTATCTAATTTGATATATATAAAACTTTTATAGTTTATGGTAAAACCCGTATTGTACGTAAATGTGGTTATATACAAGATCAACATGATGATAAAGCATGTGTTAAACGTTCCGGTACTCATGATGTTCATGCATTATTATGCAGTTGTACAACTGACAAATGTAACAGTGCACCATCAACGCTTATGATAGAAAATAATAATTATTTACTAAAAGCACTGCCTTTATGTCTAACCATTATGATCATGGTATTAGCTAATTCCAATTCAATAATTCAATATTTATAAATATATGTTGTATGTATAATAAGCGGGATTTATAATAATTATGTAACATATATTAATTTACTATGTATATGTATATATATATATTACATAGTATATTAATATATATATATATATATATATATATATATACATGTATACACATATGTATTTATATGAATGGGGGCTAATTAAAAAAAACAAATATCGAATAGACGTATAACATTTATATATGTATATATATATATAATACATATATATATATATATACATATGTATATATAATGGATATATATATATATATATATATATAGATATATAGATATATATATATATATATATTCATATATTTATTTATATATATATACATATACATCAAAAACAATTATTTTAACTTATTTTAAAAAAAAACCAAAAAAAAATTAACAAATTTTTTTTTATTTAAAATTATTTTGTTTACAAAAAAAATTTAATAACAAAAAAAATTGAGAAATAAAAAATCCAAAAAAAAAAAACCAAAAAAACGATAAAAAGAAAAAAAGCAAAACCACAATAATTTTACAAATTAAAACTTCTTTAAGTTTCATTTAAAACAACAACATCAACAACAAAACTAATATAAAACAATTAATTAATTTTCAAAAAAAAAAAAAAACAAAAAAAAAATAAAGAAAGAAATAAGGAAAAAAATAAAATTAATAAAAAATATTATGCTTTCCCATCTCTGCCTAAGCACACACCTTTGCCTCTTCAAATTTACTTAGATTATTTATACATATAGAAATATTATATTTTAAGTATATATAATATGTACATATGTACAAATATATATATATATATAAACATATATTGTATATATATAATTATGTAAAAAAATTAAAAAAAAATATTTTTGGAATTGAAGTTGAATTATAAAATTTGAATAACAATGGATATATATATATATATATATATATATATATATATATGTATATAATGATATATATGTATAATATTAAAAATGAAAACCGAAAACAAAATATATATTATGATATTGAGACAAACACGTATAACAAAAACAATACACACACGTACATACACGCAGGAAGTGAATTTCTACAGAAAATGAAAAAAAAATATGTACAAAAAAACTTAAAGAAGTTTCAATTCTCTTAATTTAAAAAAAAATGAAAAAAATTATTAATTACTTAATTTCTCCATATATAAAATTATTAAATTTAATTTTTCATTAATTTTACTATACAAAAGAAAGAAAATAAATTCTGGACTTCGAAATTACAATGAATGTTGGATATGCAGTAGACGCACTACTAAAATGCAGAATCTATAACATCAAGTTGATTTATTTAGCAATTACAATCCTTAATTTCTGTGTTCAATCAATTATAGTTAAATTGATGTTTCAGATTTAAATTATTGGTAGACACCCTCCTCTAAATTATCTAATTCAGTAATTAGAAAGTTGTATTATAGTTGAAATTCGTATGACATAATTTTGCCGTATTATAACTGTAATTTTGAAGTCAGTAAAATTTTTACGGGTATTAATTGTTTTTTTTTTTAATTGTTGAAAATGTAAGAAAATTTTGATGTTTTATGTTAAATGATTTTTTTTATAATAAAAGCATATGATATCAAAATTGCAATAGTACGGTATTTTTTTTAACAATTGAACGCGCTAATGAGTTTTAATTTCACTAAATTATAATAGTATGTAACAAAATTTTTACTATAATTTTGAAGTAACATGATGCAATTTTGATTTTATGGCTTATGTATATTTGTACATATATATTTATACAATATATTTAATATTTATATGAACAGGTTACAGCGTACAAACAAAAGAAAGTAAGATACAATTAATAATATTTACAAAATTTCAAGTAATTATTAAGGTTTAAAAAAAGTTTTTCAAATATTGTGTTATTTCGCAAAATTCAGCAATTAATACTTTTAAGCTGAATTGTGTATATATATAGATATAACACAAAATTTTTTGGTATCCAAATTATATATACTTACATACATATGGGGTGAGAATTTATATAGTAAAACAATGAACTTCATTTTCTCTTTCGACCTTTGCCAGAATCCAAATCTAATGTATATATACTTGATAAACATATTTTAGTAAAATACAATTTTTAATTGCTGAATTGAGCAGTATAGAGGGCAATCTATGTCCAGTATTCAATTTCTCTATATATTTTCAATAGTGCTGCAAAGTATATTTTATGTGAACTATATTTTATTATATTAGCTGGTTTTTGTAAAAAAAATATATGGCTCTATGTGTGTTTGGGTGTGAATTTGTATCTATAAATATATAAGCATACAAATATATTTGAAAAAAAGAACACAACGAAAGCATTAAATGCATACTAAAACCTGTTTAAAACAAAAAAAATTAAAATAATAATAATAAAGAAAATACCTTGACACACATCATATTGTATGTATTTATAAACTCAATTTGACTTATCCAGCAATCAAAAATTGTTGCTGTTGAATAAGTTAAATTTAGGTTAAATTTGCATTTTACATTCTGGTATTTTTTTGCTAGTGCTATCTCTGTTCTATATTAATTTAAATTTCTAACTACAAGCGGGTACATCAAAGGACAAAGGGGGGTTTAAAATGAATGTACTTATATGTATATACGGATCAAATAGTGGATATAAGAAAGAAATGATGAAAAGGTCGGGAACGGTGGACAGTAGACAGCGGAGGTGACATTTAAATACATTTTTTTTCGTTTCTTTAGTTACATCAAATATTTCAGACTTCGAAATTAGAATAATATTGTATTGAATACTGCACAATATTCAGCTAACTGAATTATATGTATATATATGTAATATTAATATGATTTCATTGCCAATTTTGTTCAGGGTATATATATACACATATTTAGGCATACATAAGTCTTGTTATACACACTTGTTCATTAAATATTTAAATATATATAATTAAAATATTTTAAAATTACTATTTGTAACTAACTTCATTAAATATACATATATATAAATATATATATATATATATATATATATATATATATATATTTAATTAGAATTTTATTTTTTGTGATATATATACATATGTATATATAAAAATATATAGATATAGATATATATATATAGATGTATATAGCAACATAATAAAATAAAGAAAAAATGTTATTTTGTTATACTATAAAAAATTAAAAAAAAAGAAAAACATGTAAAAAAAATTCAAAATATATTTATTTTCAAAATTGTTAAATTTTGAATAACATTGTTGATCATTATCATAATGTACCTTGATTATAACAAAACAAAAAAAAAAAAACGAAAAAAAATTATTATACTTTTGTTCTCATAATTTTTCTGGAAAAATATAACTTATTCTCTCTCTAATTTTGCTTAGAAATAAAAGAAAAAAAAAAACAAAAAAAAGCTAATCAAACACCCTAAAATTCGAATTGCGAGCAAAAGAAAGTAAATACAAGGACGAGAAAAAAATCAAAAAAAAAAAGAAAAAAAATGAGATTTAAATAACTAAATTAAAAAATTTATTAGAAAAATAAAACTTCTTATATAAAAAAATTATTTACTTAAAAAAATTAAAATTAAATCAACAAAAAAAAAAATAAAAAAAAAACACAGAAACCACTATAATGAAACAAATAAATTTATCACACATAAAACACACACACAGAATTTATGCCTGGAAAAATCAAAAATTTAATTTAATCAGTTTTTTTTTGTATAATTTTTCTATATATAACACATATTTAAATTTAACAATATATATATATATATATTTATGCATATTTACTATAATATAATATATACATATAACTCCCCGACTATAGACAAAATAATAATGAAAAAATGAACATTACAACACAACACAATTCAGCAATAACCGTTTCATATGCGCAAGTAACAGCAGACGTTTACGTATAAGCGTCTTTGTTTTGAAAATCACAATCAAATTTAGTAGATACAACCCGTATATATTGGACGGTAATTTTTTAAAGATCGCAATTTTAAAGAAAATACAAAAATTAAATTTGAAAATACACGTAATGAAACCATTATTCCGGTTGTGAGTGAAACAATTAATATTATGCTTGTTAAACAAGGTACTATACATACGTATATGTAGTCCCCCTGTAATTTTATATTTTAAATTGCCGTTTATTTATTATACTGCTTTTATGAAGTCAGGGAAATTTTTTTTTAAGAAAAAAGTGACTTTTGAAATTTTTGTAGTCAATATATATGTGTATATTGATATATAACATATGTCAATATAATTCATTAATTTAAAATTGATGGTTATATAAATATTTTTATGTTTTAGTATTTGTTTTTTTTTTAATTCGATCTGAGATCACTTGTATAAGTCACTATAATAAATAATTTTAAAAATTTCTAATTTGAAACTTACAATTCCAATATACTTTTTGACAATATATTTAATTGACAAATTAAAAAGGGTAAACTATTAAAATACAAATCTAATAGCGTAAATTTGACTTATTCAGTAAATTAACGTTAGACCTGCTTTTTGGTATAGATACCCGCCCTAAGTTTGTTGATAAATAAAACAATAAAAAAAAAACAAAAAAAAAAAACAACAAACAATTTGACAATAATTGTCATAATTATATATATATATATATATATAGTTAGGCTATATAAATAAAAGAGTCAAAATAAAAACAGAAATTTTCGAATGGCAATATAAAATTTTTACGCAATATATAAAAAAAAGTCCCTGATATCAAAATTACAGATATATTAATGTTATATACTGTAAGCAAATCAATCAATAAGTGTTAAAAGAGCTGAATTTATATCATGATGGCAATATTTATATTACGGAAATTCGCATGGCTTTTATATATATTTGTATTGATATTATTTTTATATATATATATGTATGTCATCACAAGGAGTATCTTTGTACCGAAAATTCAGTGATTATCAATTATATATAGATATTAATTGAATATCCTTGACTTCAAAATTGCAGTAATGTACCGGTATTGCTTTATACACAATTCAGCAATTATATATGTGGCTTATATATAAGCTTAACAATATACATATGTATTGACAGATACATTATTATACTGTAATTTCGATGCCAGAGATTATATATTA